ATAAATACATTCGCAAAATTCCCTTTAAAGTTCTTCAGCAACAAAGTGAGCATTGTACCAGCCGCAGAGAACGTACACCTAGGATTTGATCTCGTTGAACTTTTTTTTTGAGATGGACTGATGAAAAAGTTTCTCTTTGTATGCTGCATAGTCTTATCTGAAGTTTTTATTCATATAAATGGTTCCGTCGAAAGTTGGAATTTGTTAGAAACAATCTAAAGAAACACGGTGCGTACGCTTGAAAAATGGTCTGTGCTTGTCGTCCGACGTCAGCAAGTTTTTCACAGTTTATAGCGCAGTGTGAAGTCGGTAAAGGCGATTGATCTACTAACTTGACGGTAAGCCCGAAACAGAGCAAAGAAAGGCATGAGATGCGACACTTTTTGCGAGCGGGAACAAACGTGCAATCGTCCGGAAGTAAACTTTCAGCTGATACTCTTCCACGAACTTTGCTACGATCAAAGTTTAACATTTGCTCGTTGTTGGTGCCTCTGTTGAATGGAAGATCCGGCTTGACATATGGTTTCCTCGTTCAGCCTGCCACCTTTGCAGTCGATTCTATGATCGATAGCGTCGACGAAAAGTTGCATCATTTCTGTTACACACAAACCTTTAATCCAATTCATAATCATTTCAAAAGGATCTCCGGTGTATCGGTCACTCCAAAAAATCGAAGCTTCTTTTCTAATCACTACTTTACTTTGCAAAAATTTATTTATGTTTTTAATCGACCAGGAAGTTCAATATTTTCGTGTTCATTGTTTTGACATATTTAGAATAATTTCTATACTAAATTTATGTATATTAATGCTTTATATTAAGCATGTTTAAAATACAAACTGTGGAAATAGGTTGTGTATAGAATAGAACAACTTTATGAATGGAAGCGTTATGCGAATAGGAACTTCGTTTTTCATCGAATTGTTTACAGGATACTGAGAACAATAGCCAACCCGGACGAATAACAGGCGCAATAAAAAAAGAATAACGCTTTGTTATTCGGGGCCAGTAAAAGGGGAGATAAAAGCGGCATCGGCTGTGTGACAGAAACAAAGGCAGGAAACGTAGAAATATTTTTCGATGGACAATAGGAAATGTTCTCTCCGATTTGATTATCGTTTTACTTGACGCAAAATATTCATGAAACGGACAGGTAATCAATAATATGTACTTCGAACTTAATCGTTACATCAACATAATATCTACCAATATATATATATATATAGCAATAATAAGCGAATTGTTCAATAATCATAAATTTAAAAAAATTTATTTACACAAATTTTTCGTTTGTAGCAGTAGCACTTACAATAAGATAATAATCAGAATAATTTCGTTGTCCGGCTGATGTCCAGGGAACAGTAATTAATCAGCGTGAAAGTGTTAGTTAATTATCAAACGCCATGAAACTTAAGGCGATCGAAACTTGAGTAGGACAAGTTCTTGTAAGTTCAACTGGTATCGCTTTTAATTTAACTCGGATTGAGTTTGACAGCTGAGCTCTGCACTAATTGGAGAATTAATTATCTCCCACGGATTCCGGGATAAATTATTAACGTGTTTGCAGTCGCTGCCGTTTATGCGACAATAAATATCGTCAATAAATTATACAAAACAGTTCAAGTAACTATTTACTTACTAATTCATTTTACAAAGGGCCGAACTTCATTATTTTGCAGTATTAATGTCGTTGAAATTCAATATCGATAATTGAATGTTTGTAATGAACCCTTTGCTGACTATAGTCAATTGACAAATTAATTATGCCTGATTAATCACCATTATTTTCCTTATCACAAATTGTTCTCTCGGAGTCTCGATAATTACTAAAGCAGTTTTCCATACTCAATCTTTTCTCACAATTTTTCAAAGAATTTCGTAATTCTAAAATAATATGAAAATGATTTTAAACATTCAGGAAAATTCGTCGCACACCCCAGGAATACAACTAACAACAATATACGTTTAAGAATTGGAAGGTAGAAGCAGTAACAAAACCCACAGCTCTTAAAAGGATCCGTTTCAGGAGCAAGACTTTTTGTCACGAGAGAAGTTAACAAAAGGACAGTCAAGAACAAAAAAAAGCTACCAATATTATACACTTTACTTCTTGTAAGAGATGGAACATCTTCTCTGGTATCCTCTGAGCATGTGTCAATCCTGTGCGCAGCATTCTGAGAGGAAAAGGTTTCCATCTATGTCAACAGGACTCAGATCTGAAAGGGCTGCAGGGCTCGTAAAGGGCAGTGGTAAAGCTAGGCCAGACAAACTGCAATGAATCACGAATAAATCTCGGTTGATCCGGGGATTCGCAACCCCTGGATTTCCGAAGCCACGGCGTCGACACACTTGAGGGATTTCGTCGCGTGTTACAGCCGCGAAATGGGTTATGGGCACGCGTGAACACAAGGTTGTAGTCTACGATGCAACGCTGCACCACAACTCACAGAGCCCTCTATTCTCCTGCCAGCTAAACTCACCTCCGTGTCGATGCTGCGGTCTCTGCAGCTAGCTAAAGGGATGATGAATGTGCTCATGATACTCTACCTTGGTTTAGCATGATGAAGCATTTTAGAGATTTAAACGTTACCATGATTAGAGGATGATTTCAAAAGCGAGGATAGATTTGGTGGCATTTGGGTAATGAGCATGGGTTAAGAGTGGCTGGATTATAGTAGAGAGATAGGAGGTGGTTGATATGAATGAAGTCAAGGTCAGGGCAGAGGGTTAGTTTAGAGTTTTAGGGTTAAAGAATGGAGGAAATATGTTAGACTTGATGAAAATACTCTGAGGGTAATTGTTGAATGAATTACGGTTTGTACAACAGTGATGAATGGAAATGAATTAATTTCGGTAATCGTTCTTAATTAATAACGGTTATCAGAGGATGATTAGCTTGGAGTTATGGGATTACAGAGTAGAGGGAATGTAGATCTAGTGACAGTACGCTGAGAGCACTTATCCAATGGATTACGCGGACGTCCATGCAACAATATTCTACTATAATGGAGATTAGATTGGTCTTCTGGTAGTGCTTATCATTTTGAATGAAATCAATTCGGATTTATAGGGTTAAATGACGAAAGAAATTTACTACGTAACAGTACTAATTTTATATATAAATCTGTATACATTAGTAATGAATTATTTTCGAAATCATTCTGCATTTATTACAAATCTAAACCATTCTCTCTTTTCCAGAAAGCTCCCACGGAAAAATAACAATCAGGATACTGGAATAATGTTCCATGCCACTGAATTCCTGGAAAAATTCTTCTTGTTGTCTCGGCTCTGTTGAGCAAAACAAAACCTAATTAATTCCACAGCAAATCACACTTATTTCGTTGGACAAAAGTCGCGTCAAACAAGGGGGTAATATCCCTGTAGCCCACAATGGCCGGGGCAGCAAAATGAAGTAGTCGAGTGTTTCTCTGAGAAAGGTTTGGGGGGCACAGGTCGTTCCTGGACCGAATTAAAAACCGGTTATACAATTAAAAAGGGAGCCACGTCCTTAATTTGATGGGGGGCTCGACGAATCCTCTACACGCACCAGTTGCGAAGCCCTGCCCTTTGTGAAGTTCCACCTCTAACGAGCTGCTAAAGACACGCTTCGATTGCCCCTCGAAGAGACGAAGATTGTAGCCTTCGACAAAGAAGCCGGGGCTTCGATGATGAGTCGAAATTGAGACGCGTCTTTGTGTGATTTCTTGGCAAGCCTGGAGGGTGATGGGCGTCACCATGGACGAGTAGAATTCAGTATCCTTAAAAATACAAGCACTGCAGACGATGCCGCAAAAATAGCATTGGCGAGAATTCATTTTAGGGAATTATTGATTTTGTGAGTGTATGTGAGATTGATACGTGAGAATTTTTAATTGTTATTTTACACAGTAATGAAAACCAAGGAACATTTAGGGCATTTTTAAGTCCTCAAAAGTGTGTAATTTAACCTATGGTGTACAGTGTTCCTCAATGTAATTGAAGCCACGCTTCTTGCAGTACCTGTGAGGGAAGTTTTAATTGGAGTAATCAGGTGGTGTTTCTTAAGTCTTCAAAAATGTACAATTTTAGCGAGAAATAAGTTTTTTATTTTGTATCGAATTTGCAGGGTTAAGTACGTTGCTCGAGACGATTGTGCGGTTTCCGGGAGGGTCGCAACCCCTTCCCAAATTAATATCTCCTGGTTATTGTATTGGTTAGTGAACCGAATCACGAATTCGCAAATTGACGACAGGAAAGACGGTCTGCTATCTGAGCCACGCCCTTGTTTGTCATTTCATTAGCCCTATATTAACAGTTACAAGGCTGCCCAGTCCCGCGGACCATCGCGGTTACAACCCCTTCATCATCACTTTCGCATTATTGGTTCGCTCGCATCGTTTGTTCCATTCAATCAGTAACTGAGGTCCGACCGATCTCTATACGAATTAATTATGCCCTCATTCATTACCATTTTTCAACCTCTTCCAACCTTTTTGCGGTTTAATCGGCATGTACTCTGTGACTGGGCTGCAGCTGTTGATTCAAACGATTGATTTCAGTTTCAATTAACTTCTCATTTGATTTTCATTAGGCATCATTATCCTATCATCATAAATCCTATTAGTAGAAGAAAATAGAGTGTTTATCGTACATTCTGTCTTCGATTGCCTTGAAGGATCCTTGCTTTGTTATTTCTATCACGAACCACCCCTTTATCTCCGTGTACACAGTTCGTGCGAGAAAAGAAATATAATAATAGCAGAACTGATCATTTTCTTAGACTCTGCTGTAGAGATAGCAATTTTTCAGTTTCCAATTTGGTGCTGGCACCATCTCCTGAATTGTTATGCGAATATCTACCAATTTGTGCAGAGGATATTACAGAAAAGAATTTGTATATAATTGAATTTCTCTGGAGAAAACTCTTGAATATCTGTTTCATCTTTTTTTAGCTAAATATTTGATTGTAGTTATGTTTCTTTAGAAAATCCTAATTAACGAAATTGGATCTGTTACAGGTAACCAGAGGTTCTTCCAACAACATTCGGAACAGGATAACAAAATGGACACTTACGTAAGTACTATATCCTGTAAATTCTCGAATGAACAGAAGTGCTGCGAACTTCTAATTAAAACCTCCATTTTAGGATGAATTTTTCCAGGACAGGATGTTTACCTCGCATTCGTCCGTTATTAAATTCTGTAGATGAGTTTCACATTTTTTTCGATGCCGTTTAAACGATACTGCAATTGCAACATTATTCTACCGTTGAAAAATATCTAGTCCTCCAATTAATCCAGTTTTATATTCCAGGGAATATTTTTTCATTAGATTTATATCCCATTTTGAAAATTCTTAATTTCATCTTTGAAAGCAACTGAAACAGTGTCAAGAATTATCGACTGCATTTCAGGTCACTGGTCGTATCTTTTGGACAGTGTGTTTGCTATAGTAAGAGGAGATGAGGGTAACACGAGATTCTAGAAGAGAACAAGCACTTTGACCACTCGTCGACTGCCTCTTCTCTTCGATAGGAGGCGACAGCAAATACATTTTGTTAAACTCCATTCTCTATGCTTCGAGGACGGTTAGAAATCTCGGAAAAAACTCTCCACGCACGGCTTACTGAGTAGCGAACATTGTTGCATAAACGTTTTCCCTTAATGGAGTTGTTAATACCATCGAAGCGACGTGCGAAAATTTCTTTGCATCGATTCGATGCCATCATTGAAAACGTCCAAAATTGATTTTTCAGATTTTTAATATTGCCACTTTCTATTATATATCTTATTCATGCAGAAGCAAGTTTCCATTGAGATATTAAGAAAATGTTCAATTTATTAGAAAATACATAAATGAATATTTATAAGCATCGCTCAAAATTCGTATCTAATTATTTGCAGCCTCAAATACAGTGTAGATTTTGTGAAGTAGATTGTGAACTAGTATTTGTTGCTATATGTCTGCCATATTGAATTGATTGGAAGCAAGATGGCGTCCTAATTTTTTAAATGAAATTCCAAAATAAACGTTGAAATGATTTAAGACGTCGAGAAACTTCAATCCGAAGGTTCCGAAGTGGAAAAGCAGAAAAGCTGAGCAGAAATTAGCTGCGGAATAGCCCAAGACTTTTCTTGCCAGGCCAGTGAAGCAAATTCCATTTTCTGTGATCCGGGGAAACTCGGTCGCGTAAATCAGACAGTGGGCATTTTCCACGCTCCGCGCCAATGAAAACCATCGATGTGTAGCTTCCCGGGTCGATTAATCATTTTATCTGCTAAATTTAGGATTCCACGAATACGATTCTACTTGGAGTTTAGGTAACGTTGCAAATATAACTGTTGGAAACATAGATAAGGATTTTTTAAAAATTAGAAAATTAATTAAAACAAGAGGAAACCTCGAAGTGACAGGAGTAAACGGTCTTCTTTATTATTAGTATTCCAAGTTCCATCATTCTCGTAGGACAATTTGTTTGTCGAATCCACCTCTGTCAAAGGCAGAATGAACGATTCCAATTGTGCCGAGGAGACACTTGAGTAAAGTTTACACGAGTCACTCTGTTTTGTGTCGTTATTGTATTTATCCCACTGGAAACAGCCTGGTGTTTGTTAAACTGTGTCCGATTTTTCATCAACATTCTTCTGTTTTTTAATTTAGTGAACTTTCTTGACAAGCTGAAGTTTGCAATGCAGTTAGCAATTCGAAACAATTCAGTGAAGGGTTTAAAGGATTCAACGGAGAAACTATGCAGAACGCTTGGATTTTCTAATACTGCGGATCTGGATGCTTCCTTCTTCCAGAATCCAGGACTCTTCGTATCACAAAGGATTCCAAGCTTGCCAACACAGTTTACGTCTACAATTGCAAATTTACAAACGTTTTACCGACAGGAATTATAGTTTCAATCTCTTCGTAGCGCCACAGAAACTAATCTTTGTTTCTCTGTATCGACAGACTGGGAGTAACTATCCTCTACGTAGAATCTTCTACGATCAGGCATCAGCCATCAAAAGAAAGAAAATGGGCCAACTGCGCCGGAAGTCAGGAGAATAAATGGAACAACAAGAGAGCCTGCGCCTGTATTTTCATCTTCACGACGCTCATCAGGAACAGACGTCGGCCTCTAAGTGCCTCGGTGCTAATGCACGCCACTCTCTGTCGGTCGTGATTGAGTCGATCAACGACCGCTCGCGAATTCATCTGGCTGTAACTCTAGCCGACCAATCCTGAGACTGCAATTTCCTCGTGTACTGACTGTGTTTGCGTTCAATCGAGTTGCGAATTTATCACCTGACCTGCAGGTCCTCAAGGAAAGGAGATTAGGAGCGGTCAACATGTTACGTGTAAATATTGCGGGCTATTGACAAGCGTTGTATGAAAAAGAGGCGACAAGAGTTAGCACTTTTAGAAAGCTTGGGAAAATCTTGGTATCCAATTACTATTTTATGGAGTCTATTGGGACTTTGTTAAACCGTTCGGACCTCCTACAGTTCTCTGATAATTTTCGGGGGTCTCTTGGGACTCCCTGGGATCTCTTTGGGTGTCCTGACCTTTTTGAGACTTCGTAGAATTCTTTAGAATGTACTGTCACATCTTATTGGGATACTAGATTTTTTTAGAACTCTTCGTAATTTGCTTGCACCTTTTGAGAGTTTTCTCAAATTTCTAAGACCCTCTGATTGACTCATAAGACTCAGAATTAACTCAGGACACTCCAGAATTGCTTAGGGCTCTCTAGCATCTCTTGCAAGTCTTCTAAAAATTCTTGAGACTACGTAAATGATAACTACGCAATAGTCCACTACTGTATGAATGAAATGTACACATGTACAGATGGCATGTGTAGAAATGCAGCACGAAAGGAGAAACGCAATATTCCTGTGAAGTCAGTCTTCAAGCAGCTTTTCTGTCTTCTATCAAGCAGGGATCGTATGCAAGAGATTCCATTGGATTCCAGCGTAGGCGAGAACTCTCGGCAACATTTTTCAGTTTCTTGAAACCGCGATTTAACTAGAATTCTTCGGGCATACTTCTGCCTCATTTGCGTCTACCAGAAGAAAGAAGAACCAAGCTTAAATCGTGTCAGTGCATTCTTCGGCGAGGGACTTTCTCATTTTTTTTCCCGATAAATTAACGCTTCTCTAGAACGCACTACTTTTAATTGAAACAAGTAATCCGTGCAAATGCTACTGGTCGTAAATACTGTGGAAAAAAATCCAGGTTGAAAGGCGACCCTGGGTAACATAGCTCCCATGCAGAATACTATTTTAATTATTTCTGATGCCTGGAAGCGTTCTGCGATGAAGAATCGCGGGTTTTTGCAGAATTATTCACAAATTGAAACGAACGAGCCGGGTTACGCAGAAATTAACGTTCTTTTTACCTCTCGTTCCAGGAGGATATCGATTTGAACGAGCCGCCGAACAGTCTGAACAGCCAGAAAAAGATACTTAAGATAAGGGCGGAACGGTGCCACCAGAAGAACTTTTCGACACCCGGTGAGTAGTGCTTGAATCAAACTGTTTGGACGGCTCCGTTGAAATAAAATACAGCCGGAAAGTATTGAATTCACATCCCCAGCATCAAAATATTTTCTGCGTTGCGTATTGAAACTGCGAGTTACAACGCTCGTTCCTGGAATCTCACCAAATTCCGGGCGATCGTGTACCAGCAATTAACAGCAAACAATATCGCGGTAAAGTTTCGACCGGAAAGCAAAGTTGACTTTAGGTTACCTTCGATTAAATGAACGTTATGTCCCCTGCGTCCGGGTTTTGCTTTAATGCTGTTTCCCTTAGTTAGAAGGCCACGTGATCCTTCCGTTGTACCCCGCATACCGCGAATTCTCTCCAGCTTTCACTCAGTCAGGTACACCCCGTTTTACATTTTAAGCGGTGCTGATCCATTAACTTGGTATTTCTTTCTCAACTTCGTCACCCCGGGAACTTTATTCGAACCATGAAACCCAGTCTTATTTGATCCGTGAACTTAATTTAGGGTTCTGGAAATGCTCCAGGGTAATATTCTTCGATGCTGCATTTTCTTTGGGAGCGACATTTTTTGAATTTTTCTTGAACCTTTCATATACCTCGCCCATCGCATATATTTCCCAGAGATTTTATTTGCCTCGAAACCAGCGCCGCATACTTTTCCCGCTACTACCACATATTTGTTCCATGGATTCGTGCGACGACAAAGGAGAAGCACACACAATAACGCGCCTCGACTCGCTCTATGCTATTCAATGATATCCGGTTTTCAGCCGCAACAGACAGTGTGCAACAGAGACCATTTCACAATTAATCACAATACGCACACATACGCGATCGAAACAAACTGAAAGCACCCAGTTCATCAGAAGCTTCGAAACCGGGATTACGATGGCGATTTCATAGGGTCTTCTCTCTCTCGTACCCCCGGAATTACCATCGGATTTGATTCTGCTTAACTATTCTGGAAGGAAGCCGACATGAAATTTCGTTTATTCCCCAAGAAATATATGGGTCACCGATTCCGCGGAAATTAATGATCCTGTTGCCGCGCCGAAAAAATACATGAAACTCCTCTGAATTTCTATCGCTGGATTCTAATCCTGACCGAGTCGACGAAAAACGAGCTCGCTAGAGAGAGCACCATTGATGCCACGGTTGTTAATGGGAGAACTTTTGGTGGATATTGCGCAACAGTAAACTCTTTAACGTCGGCTAACACAACGCGAACCAAGTTATGAGAAATTGACCGGCCAGTGTTTCAAACTGCGTCAGTATTTTTGATCATGTGGAGCGGAAATAAATAAATAAACAGCAGTAATAAATAAATAAATAAGCAGCAAAAATAAATTAATACAGAGCTGAAATAAATGAGAAAACAGCAGAAATAAATGAAGTAAAAGCGTCATGATATCGGTCACGTAAAAGTTCACCTTTACGTGGAAAATAAGAGAATGAAAATTCAGGCGTTGACAAAGATTCGCTATTCCAGCCACAAAACGGAGGAAGATGAATTTTCCCATTCCAAATGCTCTCTGACATTTGCTGGCTACGAAATTCAACTTCCAACGGCAAATATTTGTGCGGAACGTCATTGAAACTACAGGTTGCACAGGATCTACAGATAACACCATAAAGTTGTGTCTTCTGATTGAAATGTTTCTCGGACGCGCGAGCTCCGGCAACATACTCTCTCGTCTCGTTTACATTTCATCATCTAATTAACATTACAGTTGCGCGTATTAGCATTTTTATTGACGAAGTAAGAAAAGTCACGAGACCAGAATTTATTTTCATTAGTCAGTCTTCTCTGTTTTCTATTTTTCGGTCGCTCAATCTTCTCTTTTTTTTCTGTTTGCATGTACCTGCATTTTTATTGATGTGTGGGCAGATCCATGGTGCGGCCAACAAAGGAACGGTAGAAATCCTTTGACTAGAATTTATTTTTATTAGTTATTTTTTTCTGTTTTCAGGTCACTTAATCTCTTTATTTCCTTTCTGATAGCGCGTGTTAAAATTTATATTGAAGAATAGGCGGAGCAAAGACCATCGCACAGAGGAGTGGGGGCAGTCCCGTGACTATGATCGGTTCCGCGATCTGTAGAGAACCAATACATGCTAAATAGAGAGGAAATCTAATAGCTCGGGGAAAAGAGAAATGCACCACAAAGTGACTGCACGGTTGCGTATGCAAATACCTAAACGTGATTTCGCCAGGCGCACATGCAACCCTAATGGATTCCTATTCCGGTAACCGGGGACGTATGTTCGGCCCCATAAACGCGCGCCAACAAGCCCCGGCAATTACACTGAAAAACTATCATCTTTTAATTTTTGGTCATACATTAATTATTTAGATTGATAATTTGAAAGAGAATAACGTCAGCGGTTCCTGTAATCCTTTGTTCATTATGTCCATCATGATTGACCAGCGTTATTATCGGCTTTGCTGGAGTTAATTATCTGTAATTAATTACCGTAACAATGGATTAATGGCTTTTCTGATGAATCATTTATTTTATATTTTGCACTGGATTACATGTTAGTAATCGGTGGGCCTTATTACGGGCAATTAGGGATTAATTGTGACCTTTAATTTAATTTAATTTGCTTCCTTTGGCCAGTAGTATTGTTATTTATATATTGACAAAAATTGTAACAGTTGTTCTTAAAAAATGTTAGTAATCGATAGGTCGGTTGTCGCGATTAAGGATTAACTTTAATTTAATATTATTTGCTTCCTTTGATCAGCAATATTGTTATTTATATACTGGTAATTTTATTTTTTATCATTCCATTGGAGACTAATTAAAAGGAATCAATATTTCATGGACCACAACGGGAACAGTTGACAGCCGATCAGCCGGAAAAACAGAAAAAAGAGGCGACGGAGGCAATTAATTGATTGAGTGTCGATGACAGGAAGCATATTTCGATACTAATCGCTTAATGAAAAATCGATTCCAGCGTGGATATCCAATCAGGCCGACCTTCCCATAGACCCTTCGCTGAAAAGTAATGGGGTTAATGCCTGCTGGATATTAACTCCTTTTAATGAAATTCAATCTATACCCGCCATTATAGGACTATTATCCTCCACGCTCCGCCGCCATCGTCTCGCTTCCGCAAGCTTAATTTTCTCGCGGAATTCGCCGGACGTGACTAATTCGAGCTCAGAAACAACTGTGAACAATTCTATTCAGTCTGCTCACAGTTAATTTTCAAATGTGATGTCACATTTAAAAATTCAGCGAAAGGTATTCTCAAATACTCTCTGGTTTATTCATAACTTTTTGATAAAAATGATAATTTTAAATGACTACAACAATTTCTTTGAGATATTAAACAAATTTACAAAAATGACTGTACCTACGAAAAATTTGATCCGTTAAATTAATTTCTACAATCACAATATTAAATTGCAAACCCAACAAATTCACAGAAACATAGTCTATTGCATGCTCTATTACTTAAAATCATTTTCCATTATTTAAACAACAAAAAATTTCTTACATCATCTCCTTATGCGAAATTAAGTTTTTTTTTCTGCAAAAACCCAATTGAATTGCGAGCTCATCAATTTCACGAAGTCAGCTCTCCAACTTGCAATAATTTTTCCCGACATCTTAAGAGTTCAAAAATTCTCTGGACAGAGTCCTACTTGCGCGGGCGTGCGGGAGATTGAATTTCTTGCCGGTATATCTCCCCGAAGACCATTCGAATCTCGCAGAAACGAGATGGCGACAGAAATTCCGCAGGTCGTGATAAAAATTCGTGCCGGCAACGCGTTCTGTTCTATCGAACTGAGAACAGTTCCGAAAGTAGTTAATAACAGTCACGTTCCCGGTCCGAGGTCTTCTGTCTTTTTCTCTGCCATAGGCGGGGATGTCGGGGGTGGAACGATATTACGTTCCTCGGGGCTGCGGATGTTGGGGCACGTGCGTTCCACTTCCGGTTCCTCCACGACCTTCGCCGAATCAGAATTCGACGCGGTTTCCCGGTCCTTTAACTCGAGAAGCCTAACCTTCCTCGATCCCGAACCCCTTCGACGGATTAGATCTATAAACCAACCGAGGGTCGGAAAATTTCCGGAATTCTGCAGAAGAGTTCCACGTTCGGCAAAAATACTCGGAAAACTGGTTTTCATTAGCTACAGTGTTTAGGCGTTTAGTGCAGTTCTCAGTTCGCAAAAGTGAGTTACTTCTTCGGGTTTAATCGGGAGAACTGCTTTTGGCCGATCTGTTCCACCAGTGAATTATTTGGAATTCTGCGGTATTAGAGGTACTTTCTGGATTTTAGAAAATTGTTTTCGAAGACTGAGTCGTTTGACGAAGTCTTACGAGACGTGACTCAATATAGATGTCTAAAAAATTAATTTTCACAAGAGAAAAGGGAAAATTGAATTTTCCAAGTTATTCCTGAGTAATTGAAATAATTTTCTGATTTTTAGGAAATTATTTTTAAATAAAAGGAGACGTTCCATGTGGTTTGGCCGAGTTTAAAGAGCTTAGGAAGATTTGGACGTTCGGAAAATAAATGAGAGGAAGGAAGGGTATTTTTCGGTTTATTTTCGAGGAATTATTTTCTAGATTTCCAGAAAATTGTTTGAAAAGCGACATACGCGTTTTACGAAATTTAACATATTAAACGTATTTGAGAGATTGAAACAATTCGACGATTCTTAACGGACGATTGAATAATCAATTATCACGCAAGGAAAGAGTATAACAATGGAACTGTTGTTAAAGTTTCGCCGAAAGTAAAGTAAAGTTCTGTCGAAATGGGTGGAGCACCCTATTGTTGCGCGATGAATTAATGGTCTCCCGGTTCGACGGCTTGATCTAATCGTCTCACCAGTCGCTTCGTTGAAAAATTGCTATTCAACGTTGTTTCTGAGGATAACACGAAGCACATCAGGCGAAGTATTTTTAAAAAACGTTAATTAACTTACCGTCAAAAGTGAAACGGGTTTTAGCACAATCGTGCTCCAGGAAGAGAAATATTGATTAGATAGTGAACTATGTGGGTGGGGCTAATAAATGTATGCCACGTGCATGAAAAAAAAACTTAAGAACCTTTATGAAACAGGCTGGTGTCCTCAATACTGGGATGAAATACTATGCTGGCCATCAACCGCACCTGGAGATCTCGCCATCTCCTCCTGTCCATCTTACATTGCCGGTTTCGACGTCCAGGTAATATTTACAATTCAAATTAGACACTTGTTCTCACTGTCGACCAATCCAACCCCTTGTTAAGTATTCAAATTCCTCTGGATGCTACTTGCTTTGCAGACTCCGTCCTCGTGCCTTAAATTCAAACTACCTGATTCTTTTCTTTGGTAATGTTATTAACTGCACCGGTGTGTGTAACATTTTGTGCCATCTTTACAGCACACACATTCTATTTTATTCCTATTGATATTGTATATTTCTTTATCGGCAGTCGGTGAAGGGATGAAAACAACCCTTGAGTCAGGGGTTGAAACCATATTCTTTTATTGCCTTGAAAACTGGAAGGTGTAGAAATAAAATCTTTCCTTTCAACTGCACGTTTAATCCAGGATCAAATAAGGAATCAGAACTACTTTCTAAATTGTTATTAAAGTTGTTTCCACTTCTATATAAACTTATATGTATCATCCTTTACCATTGAAGGGAATATAACAAGGTTCTTGTTAAATTCTACCTATGTAAGCTATCTCTTGATGCAAATCTAAATATGATTCAACAGGCGAAGGCATCCAGGCAGTGTATGCAGGATGGCCATTGGTTTTGGAATAATAGCACCAACGGCACCTGGACTAACTACACACAGTGCTACAGGCATCCATTAGTAACCTTTCTGATGGAAACGAACGGTACTCCGGAAAACAACGACACACTATTTAAGGTGAACGCTTGCTGAAACGATTAGACTCTACCCCGTTTAATGTAGTTCCACCGACCACAAAGGGTCTATGCCAATTAGCTTTAATAGACAGGTCCAACAAGATTATGCTCGACTCAGTACTATTGCAAAGTTCTGATCTATCAAAATACGTTTCAATAATTCAATCATGTAGACAATCAATGGAGAACTTTCTAGTGAGGATTTTTAGTTAGGAACTTCTAAATGATGTAATAATGCTCAATGATATTTAAGAGCTTGTCCTGGTAAATAATTATTTTAACAATTTAATTATGAAAACTTCGATGAGAATCAGAAACTTTTCTAAATGTGAAAAAATACGCTGATGCCCAGTGGTATTTAAGAAGACGATAACTTTTTTGAATAATAATTTCGTTACGAAGTTCATCAATATTTTTTGATATGACACCATGCATTTTTAACTTCAGGGTTGTTGCTAAATGTCAGATTGTTAATACCAGATCCTTGTTGACTACTAGATAAAGATATTGTTAGCAGACGTTTTATAATAGAGGAAGCAGAACTCCTGGGATCTTCCGAGGTACCATTTTTAATTCCCGGTTGTCCCATTAAGTATTTTTGCTTGGCCGTCGGTTAGAACTCGTTAGTGATGAAAATATTCCGCGGAGAAAATTACAGAAAAGGCAATGGGACTCCCTTAGGAAACTGGAACTGTTGCGGCCAATGGAAATCGATGGGAATTATGTCAATGACGTCAAACGGTTTTAAGTGGAAGACAGCAGCTTCTGGCAACGATCACATGTTCGTCTAACCATTGTGTCTCTTTCTCTAGTCATCCTTGGGTCCTTATTACCAAGAATCTTTTCTCAGAAGTCTCACTAACATGTTTAGAAACCCGGTCAAAAAATTGTAAAACGACATTAGCAACTCGCCTGGCTGACAACCATTATAGGAAACGCATTACAGTGCACCTCATTAATAATGAACGTCGATCAGTGATTGTGTTACATGTTCATAGAATCCACGAACTTGCACTTCATAAATTATTAGGAACTATAATTATGCGATCCTTCCGCACAGAGAGACCGGTAAGCAATTTAACTCCGATAACTTGATTGCAGAAATCCATTCCCATAGTGAGGACCATTTCCAACGTCGGATATACCGTATCCTTCTTCACCCTGGTCGTTGCATTCTTCATTCTGGCTTTGATCAAGTAAGTATTAGCTTAATACCCTGTCCTTAGGAGGTATCCTGATTTAAATACAGCCCAAGATCCTTTTAGGGGTCCAGAATCCAACATCCATAGTCCTAAATCTGATATCCAAGTCCAAATTTTAGAGGTTCAATAGCCAGGATCCAAAATTCATAGTCATAAATCTGATGTCCAAGTCCAAGATGTATATATGAAAGATCCACCTTCCACAATGTTCACCAACCGCTGATACCTCGGATCACTACTCCAAGTTTATTCCGAATCGGACGTAGGAAATTAAGATGCCCGAGGAACATGCTCCACATGCACCTCTTCGCCTCGTTCATGCTGCGGGCGTTCATGGCGCTGATGAAGGACATGCTGTTCGTGTCCGGCATCGCCCTAGCCTCTGACGTGATGATCAAGAACTGGGAAACCTTCTGGCTGGTAGACGAAAAGGACATCAGCTGGTTGTGCAAAGCGTTCACGAGTTTCTGGCAGTACTTCATCCTCGCCAACTACTTCTGGATTCTGATGGAGGGCCTGTATCTGCATAACTTGGTTTTCCTGGCGCTCTTCACAGATGTTAACTCTAGTATAGTTGGCTACGTGTGTCTTGGATGGGGTGAGACACTTGTTCAATTATTTTCGTCTTAATGATTTATGATGAGACACCTTCTCTTCAGGTTTGCCAGCTATATTCGTGTCCTGTTGGATTGTGGCGAGGATAACGTTGGACAACAGGTATTGCTGGACCACTCACACGAAACCTTACCTCTTCTTACTAATCCGAGTGCCCACGATGCTGTCTGTTTTGGTGAGACATCTATTAATCAGACATTAAGGACGTTCACAGTCTTCATCCCTTCGATTTCTGCTCGCAGATCAACTTTGTGCTGTTCGTGAATATAGTCAGAGTGCTCCTGTCGAAGCTGAAATCCACTGTTTCGGAGGAGACTCAGAGATACAAGTAGGAAAAGTTATAATAGCTCAATTTGAAGCTGTTAACTTTATTAACCACGGTATCTTTTAGGAGATGGGCAAAGAGCACTCTGATTCTAGTACCACTCTTCGGTGTTCCCTATACTGTCTTCTTGGGCATGTCCTACAGCACAAACGAAACCGTAGAAGTGATATGGCTTTTCTGCGACCAGTTGTTCGCATCCTTTCAGGTACCAACAAATTCTGCAGATTTCAAAGTATTAATAAAAATAATTCATACTTTATTCGTCCGTCCAGGGTTTCTTTGTAGCTGTGTTGTATTGTTTCCTCAACGGAGAGGTCCGTACAGAGTTGTCGAGAACGATCAGGAACCAAAAATGGCCCCGATTGCGACCCAGATGGATGTCCAGACCATCCACACACTCTGGTAGCACCTGTAGCTGCAACGCGTCCAAACTGAGTAGATCCAAGAGACCACCATGGTGGAAGGACCCGTGGCTCTGTTTCTTTCACGACAGGAACACTCGACGTTCTACTCACTCGATGGCGAGTACACAAGGTGTCCTCTTTATCCAGACATCCTCTGGTCTACCTCTAGCTAACGCAGCTGCAGGATCCATGACAGAAACAACCCTAGCAATAGGATTCAAACCCTAAAGTATCAGTTATCTAACGTCGAAGGTAGTTTCTGTCGTGAGCTTCAAGTTCACTTCCTCATCACCATCCATGTAATTTCTTGGCCTGGCACTTCTTGTTTTCAACCTTCTCTCTACTCTGCACACGCTCTCTGGCTTCCAGTGGCTCTCTCCTGCTTCAAGTACTCAATAATCATTAGTTTAAAACGTTTTTAGATATTGGCACGCGAGGTGGTAGCCTAGCCAGCAGCAGGGGGTACCTGGAGATCACTGGAAATGGTCAGGCTACCCTCTCTGGAGGTACAAACCAACAACCTCGACACACATCGCCACTTTGTAGCAAATACACGGATCAGTCGTTACTCTCTTTCTGTTCCAACGTGAGTATCTTCACTGTCTAGTATTCTTTATACTTCATCCACGTCTGCTTCTTCTCCAGGTATCGGAAGTCACACCCTGTACAGGTATGAACACGGACAAAGTCCGGGACCAGCACCGCTGGAGCGACTCAGAATGCTGTCATCTAGCCTATGAACTGCACAATCTGCACCATGGGCCATCCTAAGCCCTTTAATACCATACCTACTCGGGCTTCTTCAGCATATTAGCTGAGACCGTCGTTGCACGCTACTGGACTGCTATTTCACTTGTTTGACGACGTGGAAGGGGGTTTGAGAGATTCGTTGCAGCCACTGTTGCTCAAACATTGATATTTATTTCACTAGGGAATTTTGTAGGTTTGGAGTTGTTTGACATCAATTAGTGAGATGGAACCAGACCAGCTCAAATAGTTTTCTGTAGACAGTGACATAAACTGCTCTCCAGAAGACCATCGTTCGATCGAGGGACAAATTTTCCAGCATTTGATACTATTGGCTACAGTTTGACCAAGTAGTTGTCCAATTTTCTGTGGATCAATATTAAACAGTGTTCAAACATTAATCATCCAGAACACAAAAGTTTTTACAGCATCAATAAAAGTCTTCAAACGTGTTCAAACGTCTTCAAACATCGCCAGTAATATGCAGAACTGAATGACCAGTTTTGTGAGCAACCGTGTAGATAGTTATTGCAATCCACTCTCTCGCTCTGCAACGTGAGGCGCAAACAAACCGGTACTTAAACGAGGAAGAAACACTAACAAGAAAGGATTGATTATTTTTGTACACATTGTATTTACACATCAGTGGAGCTACAGCAAGCTCTGTTAATCCAGATCAGATTGCAATCTCGATCTCTTTTCATTATACCGGATTGACAGGGCTTAGCCGTGCAACGTTCTCTCCTTTGTAAAAATAATTAATTGCGGATCGTGCACCGTGTCTTGTACATTGCAAACAGATGGATGTTTCTATATGTGTATACGTGTGTGTTTATATGTACACGTGAGTGTGTGGATGTGATTATTCAAAATGTTCCGTGCGTATCTTCTATAGAATTGTCATGCTTTTAATTACACGAATAATTAAAAATGTTTTCCAGATATTGAAACTGATAATTCAACTAGCCGTGAAATAATTAAACACCATAATCTCTGTTCAACCAATATTTCTATCGTTTAGAAAAAAGGATTTATTACTTTCGTAATTACCTGCGTCGTCGAACGCACACGGAGATCGATCGATCGCGATGCACGAAATACGTTATTGTCAATTACCTCGCAGATGGAAAATATTATAAATATCAATCGCCGATTTTTCAGTGTAAAATAATTGTGTACCGGAGACTATATTTAATTTTCTCGTTTGCCTTGCACTTTATGTATGCCGCATTTGATCACTTTAATTATTAGAGAATGTATGAATTATACATATCACGATCGCCGAGGCGATCCTCCTTAATTTACAATTAGAATCAGATTTTAATTTATACTCTGTCGCGCTGCGTTTAAGTAGCGAATCCAATCACTACGCTGTCATTAATTAATTAAGTATGACCCGAAGCTGGTCATTTATTTTATCTTTGCCATGAATATTCTTCCAATTTAATTTATGTTGGTGAACCGAACTCTGCTCAGAAATTCATTAATCGTTACATGAATTTTCGGGTCGATTGTGGAGAAACGAGAACCATAGTGATTAAGGGAACATTTTGTGTCCCCACGAGAATTATTTGATGTGAACCTCGATGATTATGCAAAGTCATGTGTACAAAATGAGTAATAAAAACGTACCGTGAAGCGAGAAGCTATTCTCGTCAGTTTACATTTTGCATAGCAATAAGTGCTATGTTCTGAGGACTGTGAATTAGAATTTTTAATAAACAAGAAGTAGATTTTTGAACAATTTCTTTATGAAACTAATAAAAGTTTATGCTAACAACTAGTACACGCTTTTTATAGTGTGTCTATACTTACACATAAATATTTACACAATTATTTATGGCGTTTCGCGCGCTCACTGTCTTATATCGTTTTTATTTCATCGTTATCTATAGATATCGTTTACTATATTGTATTCAAATAAAATATTCAGATAGTGATAATTTTGAGACACTATTTAACTTGTAGTTTTTTTTTTAGTGAACGTCAGGAATTTTGTTGTATCTTTTAAAATAGAGGCCTGCGCAATTGCTGGCTCAGAAGAGACGATTCTGGTGGCTCACTGAAAAATACAAAGCAATCGATTAGGTATGTTAGAATAAGAAAATAATCAGTGATCTTTTTAGGAACATCCTCTCACCATCCAGTAACATTCTCCGCAGCGTCACAAGTGCTGTTCAACTCGTTAAACGCGTTGCCTTCTCCACAATTGTGTAATCTCGGACGACCGTTCACGCAAACATAATAATGCTGACAATCGTGCACGCTGCGATGGAACTGGGGACCCCCGAAGAATCCTTGATCTCTCACTTCCGGGCATCGGAAGCCAAGGAACGCTATAAATGTTGATCATAAATTATTTATAAAAACCATAATTCCGTTTACAGTTAAAAACACTGTACTTTTAATAATATTATGTTTACCTCCCCTCTCCTTAAACAATTAAATAGAAAATTTTGTATTTGTAGCTTAGAAGAAGTAGTAATAGGATAGCAAAATGGAATTAACCCTTTTAATTATTACTTAAAATAAAATTGTATTTAACTCCACCCTTTTAAAATGCTTGCAGGGGGGCGGTACCTTAGATTCTAGGCCCCAGAAGACAGTAGTAGATAACAAAATAGAACCTACCCTCGGCATCACAGTCAGGTACCTGGTCTGGCCAATCACAGCGGTAGGATTCAGGGTTGAAGGCCAACCCCTCAGGACAGTCGAAGACGTAGCCCCTACCCTCGGCACAATTCACGAATTGGCCGCAGTTCTGATGATCCCCCACTTTAAAGTAGCCATATTGGTGGGGACAGTCGTCCGTTGGTTGTGGTGGTTCTACAAATCCAAAACAACTTTGCTTTTCTTCAGAACATAACCACTGGTAGTAAATCAGTACATAAAGGGCATACTGACGGCGGCTAGACCTGCTGCCACAGTCTATGTCAATAGGATAACCGCAGGGATAATTGAATCTGGCTTCAGGGTTGAAAAGGAGACCCTCGGGGCAAAGCTTCTGTTCAGGTTCACCGTCGATGCATTCTATGTAGGCGTCGCACTGGTTAGGGACAGGAAATCGGCCATTTCTCTCCGGACAGGAACCTGAAGATTGTCTCCCGGCGATGTTATGGTCCAGTTGGTTGTTTGTACTTGTGAAGCGCTGATAGTGAGACACCGCTGCGATCGCAAACAATGTATCTTTTAACAAGTAAATATTTAAACTAATTTGACATTTATATTAATATTATTTTTGTATGATATTAAGTCGAGTGCGCTCGAAGAAATTTTACGGTAGTATAGTAGAATCTCTTGCGTAATATTATAGCAATCCGAATTCGAGGAAGTGAAAGATGAGGCTATTACGGAGATCTTAATTTCAAATAGGAGACCATTAAACCACCTCGATATTTCTCGCCACCGTTTCTCAACTGCTTTACGAAACCAGATGGTTCTCTCGGGTTTACGGTCGCAATAGTCTTCATTGCGCACGAAAGTATCTATAAAAGTCGTTCTAATCGCTATTGAGGTGCAATAACCATCAGCGATGCTGCCCCGTAGCTTCCGCAGAACGGTACACAAAAATGTTTAACGTAACATACAAATATATAATTTCAATATTACCATTCAAGTTCTGACTAGTTCATGTACTTCGTTCTTCAATTTCTCACTTTTCTATTTCATATAATGCAATCTTCAACCAGCATACAGCATCTGAAGAATCAATCTGGACCTTGAAGAGAGAATTCGTTTTCGGAAGAAAAGTAGGGAAAGAAACTCTGGCTGAAGAAGATCTCGAATCTCGAATACAGGTGTATCGTATTGCGTAACCACAGATTGCATAATGCGAACACCTTGAAGACAAGAGAACCGGTCTGCGAGAGCGTGCACACGCTGAAATCTAGGGAGAAAGTTCGGCGATGCGACTCGACCTCCGCGAAGCCGGGTCTGTATTAGCATAGTCGCCTTACGAAACTCAGTCTCGAGGATTCTGCCCTGATTGATCTCCTCCGGTGGGACCATTAATTGACTAATTCCGGATCCGGAAGGATAAATTCAGCTGAAGCACTTTGCACCTCTTTTTATGCTAGATTTTCAGGGTATAATCCTGGAAAAAGGATATATCTTCAGCCAGATTTTCTTTCTTTACTTTCCTTCCGAAAACGAATTCACTCTTCAAGGTCCAAATTCAGATACTGTTTGCTGGTCGAAGATAGCATTATATGAAATAGTTAAAGAGAGAAATTGAAGAATGAAGCAATCTCTGAACTGGAAGGATTAGGCAAACGATTTCTATTAAGTATTAGGGGTCTATAGAAGTTCAGTTCAAGACGTAGACCATAAGACGCACATTATGTTGATCGCAGAAACAGTTGATGTCGCCGATGCAAATTCCTAACCATCCAATTTGCATATCACGAATCTCGGGATTCCCGCATATCAGATCGCCCGAACTTTCGAGAAAGAAGTTCCCTGACCGCATCCCTAAGTCTATGCAATGACGCACCATCACTTATAGTCTTGAATATTTCAATGGCGCAGCTGCACCGCGCGCACGTCGAATTTCAATCAGCGGGTGGTGTAATAAGTGCAAATCGTCCCTCTTCAGCTTCTTCTTCAGCTTCCAAAATTAAAATACAGTAGCTAGCGAAACTGTCTAAGTAAATGCACGTCTAGAGAGATGGTCACCAATCTCTGTACCCAAAAAATCTAACAAATCCTCTCATCATTTTACAGAATCAATCCTGGAAGGACCTGCAACCTCAGCTACATACTCTAAGAAGCTAGCAGGATCCATCGGTCATTTTCTAAATTGTCAGCCGACGAAGAATCTCTGCCAATGATCTAAGGAGCTATCAGTGCCTACCACTTGTCATCTAAACTATCAGAATACCAACACTCTCATCCCCATACCCTAAAAAGCTAGTAGGACATACCACTTATCTTCTAAACTACCCCAAAAGACCAAGAATCTCTGTTCCATACCGTAAAAAACTAGCAGGACCTACTACCGATCCCCTAAATGAGCGAAACATCGAAAGCGCGTCAGTACTATACCCTAAAATGTTATCAAACCGCTATCCTTCTAACGAAGTAGCCACCTATGAGAGGGGACAGAAATACCCTAAAGCACAGCACACTACAATCGCCACTGTTCCACACGCGAAGACGATTTCGTAAATTCTGAGCACGATCTCCTCAGGATTCTTGTGGATGATCTACTCACGGGTTGCGGCCGCGAGCACGCCGCAAGCAATCGCCAGATGAACGATCGTCTTCGAGGCCATTTTGAGCTGCTGCCTTCCCGCTCCCGAAACAGACACTACGTCCAAGTGACTCTTCCTCGCGAGCTTTTATCATCTCCGGCCACCGTCAGGCCGGGCGGAGAGGAGAGGAGAACAACGATGTTCGTCGCAATTTTCTCGTCCGTGGTCTCTCGATCCTCTGACTCCTCGTTTTTTGAGGCCCCCTTTCACAAGTCTATTTCCGTCTGTGTTTGTCTCTGACGAGTGTGTGGATTCCAGGAATTACCGTAGGTGATGACCGAAGGGACTCAGTCGTTGCACCTTCGACGATCAAATGAATTTAAATGGATTCTTCGACTAGATCGATCTAGAAGACTCTGGATTTTTGTTAAAAATTAAGAAATTTATTTTTGAGATTGTTTTGTCGAGTTTTGGTGAGGAGCAGATTTTTGGATATTTTTATTTTGCATCAATGAAGGCAAAAATGGCACGTCTGTCGAGATAGAACAGTTCACCAAAATGGCGGGAAGGGTGGCAACTGGTTGGATGGGTTTCCTCGGTTTCTGCTCCTTTACCATAAAAGAGAAATACTGCTGCGGCCAGCAATGTCGCAGAGAAAAGGTCCGTGAACGTCCGACACGCAGAAAGAAACGAAGAAAATGTCAAGGCTTTGGGCCCATGATGCCTCAGGCCTATTTCTCGTCTAATCGCGGAACTTTCGTTCGATATTGCGCAAATTCTGCCCCTCTTCACGATTTTCTCTACGTTTCTTTTTTCTTCCAGGAAGATCCCGCTGTTCATGTAAATAAATACCAGAACTGCGTCAGACTTGAAAAATTCATGTAAAACAGCAGCGGAAATGTTTCGAAATATATCTTGAAATTAATTAATTCGTCATTTAGTTTTCAGTTTAGTAATAGAAGGACAGACGCAGTTATTAACAATTAATTAAAATCAGAAATTGAATTTGAGATAAAATGTTAAACCTATCGTTGTAAAGTGCATTTTTTCAGCTTTAATTTGAGCTATTGAAATATGGAAAATTTCAACAGGAAAGCGTTACAATATTATTTATTTGCTTCTTATTTCTCTAATTTAAACGTCCGAATAGCGCCATTGCATGCAGTGGCAAAACGCCCAAGTTTGTCGTCGAATGTTTCCTATTTCCCTCACTAGATGTCACCATCGACATCTTCTGCCAGAAATGTTCGAACAGCGCCATTCCATGCAGTGGCAAAATGCTCAAACTCTTGGGCAACGTGACCAACGGATAAAGCAGTCGGTAATTGGCTAACAGTTTGGGCGTTTTGCCACTACGTGTATTGGCGCTGTACGAACCCTCAAACTGAACTTCAAAATCTTCCTACTAGAGGCGCTGCTATCACACTATGAAAATATTCAGATCCTAATTAAAGATAATATTCCAATTGCTTTCCCCTTGATAGTTTTTAAGTTGCGAGAGCTCAAATTAAAGCTGAAAGATTGATCTTTATGACGAGTTGACTTATATGCGTAGAGCAATTGAAGATCAAATTCAGAAATTATTAGATCCCTATCTATAATTCGGTAATGAATCTTTGGGCTTGAATTTAAAATCGATTTAAAGTGCTTTCTCGATGAGATTATTCAATCATCAAGGTCTTAAATTGAAGCTAGAAATTCATACTTTATAACAGATCCATCTAGATTGGTAGAAAAATTCGAGATCGTATACTTTGCCACCTTCTAGTTTTTCCGTTTTAGGGCTTCTTTTTCCAATGTCAGCCTGCAAGGTCACGCATTCAAGAAAGATGTCGCTATGATCGCGGCAGGTGGGCGTCATCTACTGACTTTACGTGGAAGTTGTTTCCAGAGCCGGCCAACATCATCAGGTCACGTGACAATAGCATATTGATACGTGTCCGACGAAGGGAGCCACGACTCACTACGATTTGCCAGTCGGGCATACGCGGCCAGGTTTACTCGTGTTTTAGATTGAGACGGGGATCCTAGCGTCTTGTGTTGATCCCGGACATCATCGGAGAGGACCGTTTCTTAGATTACTGTTCGGTTAGAACCTCGGATTCAAAATGGGATGTAAGTAGATATAGTCTTCCAGTCAGAAATATAGAAAAGCGCTATTTTCATTCCCGTTAACACGCCGCGATAGCCCCCGTGACCGTAACCTCACGATTTCCCGTTTTTCCCAACACATATTGCACGCGTCGTCGAAACCTAATCGGTTTACGTATCAAATCCAACAGCGTTGTCAACGAATCGCTAATTCATCCTCGGATTTTTCGCTTTTCAGTCAAATTTCTAGAGGTGATAAAACCGTTCTGCAGCATACTCCCGGAAATAGAGAAGCCGCGACGAAAAGTAAGTTAACGGTTGATCCACTTTCGTTTTATCCACACGATCTCCTATCTTTCTATTATCGAACGCATTTTTCTACATCGTTTGCCATCTGTTTCACAGATCCAGTTCCGGGAGAAGGTGTTATGGACAGCAATCACATTGTTTATTTTCCTGGTATGCTGTCAGGTAAGAGTCCACTATGAAGAATACAAACCCTGCCTTATTTTCGATCTTTTTCAATGTGTTCATGTCTCATTGTGTTTCCAGATTCCTCTGTTTGGCATTATGTCTTCGGACAGTGCGGATCCATTCTATTGGATCCGTGTGATACTTGCATCCAATAGAGGTACTCTTATGGAATTAGGTATCTCACCTATTGTTACATCTGGACTGATCATGCAGATCTTGGGTGGTGCCAAAATTATTGATGTTGGTGATACCATAAAGGACAGAGCTCTTTTTAATGGGGCACAAAAATGTGAGTTCATTTTATTCTTTAAAATTTGTATTAAAATGTTTTAATTAATAGTTGTATCTGTGATGGATCACACACACAAAATCCTAATATATTCAACTATTTGACAGATATTTCCTAATGTATTCAACAGATATTTAGCTTCTTGTTTGAGTATTTAAGTACTTCAGTACTTAGCTTCAAATTTGACTACTTAAATACTAGGATACTTAACTTCAACTTTTATTACTTGAACTTATGTTTACAGTATTTGGTATGGTGATCACTATTGGTCAAGCCATCGTCTATGTAATGACAGGAATGTATGGTGACCCGACTGTAATTGGAGCTGGAGTTTGTTTACTGATCATTATACAATTGTTCGTTGCTGGACTGATCGTATTGTTGTTGGACGAACTGCTCCAAAAAGGATACGGATTGGGCAGTGGAATCTCCTTGTTCATTGCAACCAATATTTGTGAGACGATCGTATGGAAAGCGTTCTCTCCTACCACTGTTAACACTGGTACATCTCGCTACCATATACCTGCTACAATAGCATTAAATCGCATCAATTAATTCGTTTAATAAACGCCTTAGGACGTGGCACGGAATTCGAGGGTGCTGTGATCGCATTGTTCCATTTGTTGGCCACGAGACAAGACAAAGTTCGTGCCCTTCGTGAGGCTTTCTACAGGCAAAATCTTCCCAACTTGATGAACTTGCTCGCCACCATTTTGGTGTTCGCGATTGTTATATACTTCCAGGTAACGTAACACTGTTCGATAAAAAACTTTTCGATTCAGATACTCGATAGCTTGAATGATAACGATGATTGCGTTTCAGGGCTTCCGTGTTGATTTGCCAATCAAATCTGCCAGATATAGAGGCCAGTACAGTAGCTACCCTATTAAACTGTTCTACACCAGCAACATCCCGATTATTCTTCAGTCCGCATTAGTATCGAATTTGTACGTTATTTCGCAAATGCTGGCAGTCAAGTTCCAAGGTAACATCATCGTGAATCTTCTGGGAGTGTGGTCGGACGTCGGCGGCGGAGGGCCAGCTAGGTCCTATCCTGTCGGAGGATTATGTTACTATTTATCACCGCCGGAGTCCGTGGGCCACATATTACAAGATCCGATACACGCCGTCCTCTACATCTTCTTCATGCTCGGGTCTTGCGCTTTCTTCTCAAAAACGTGGATTGACTTCTCCGGTAGTTCAGCCAAAGACGTACGTATCAAAAATTCTGGAACTTCGTATGACGTTTAATTTCTTGGTTGTTAAATCATCTATTGAACTGAAAATTGTTCTACAGATTGCCAAGCAGCTGAAGGAGCAACAGATGGTGATGAGGGGGCACAGAGACAACTCCATGATCCACGAATTGAACAGATATATCCCGACTGCTGCAGCCTTCGGCGGTTTGTGTATCGGTGCTCTGTCAGTGTTGGCAGATTTCTTGGGCGCAATCGGCTCCGGCACCGGTATTCTGCTAGCCGTGACTATTATATATCAATACTTCGAGATTTTCGTCAAGGAGCAAAGTGAAATGGGTGGCATGAGCACACTGCTATTTTAATTCGAATTCTCCTGCATAGACTTTAAAAGTGAACTTTTTTTAATTCCGAAGAACTGAAATAATAATAATTTATTGTAACGCAAGCCCGACGACGTGAGGCGACGTCGACGCCTGTTGGTCACATACTGGCGGGACTGGAGAACGGGGCGGTCTTCATTTTGTATCGAACCGCACAGCAAAACAAAAAGGAAACATAATCGCATTACACACATATATGAACATTATGTGATAGACTTCTCCTTAAAACAATTTATTTTTCTTTTTTTTTCTCGCATACGATCGTCATATTCTAGAGAAATATTTAATTATCGTTTCATGCTCTTTCATATATCAAATTTTTAACCGGACAGCATCAACGCGAGACATATGTTGACGGAACGTATTGAGAACACGTTCACGTATATGAAAAATGCTCGAATGTAAATACCGGGCTTCGACGTCCGGGATTCTCAAGGAAGGATGTAATATCTGTTACACGACGAGCGATGTACATAGGAAGAAAGTAATTAAATATTTTCAACATTTTTAATAGTGTTCTATACTCCGAGTGATCGAACGAAATCACGCTAAAAACTCTCTTTCCATCTCCATCTTTACTCTCTCTATCTATCTTCTTCTTCCAAAGGGCGAGATTCGAGTGGTTGAAAACCATAATCTATGTAATCATTTCTCGAGGACGAGACACCCACCTAGGGTATATTCGCGGAACATGTTCAAATGAGTGTTCAATCGTACCATCATCCCTGTATTGATTACAAAAATTCCACTAAATTAATTGCTTTCTCATATGTATTTAGGAGGGTGCGCTGTTAGAACAAAAAAAAAGGTTTCCGTTTTCACTGCTATCTGTTCCTCTGCTCCAAAAGCGACGAAAAAGCACTGTACGATGCGAGCATGCGAAGGTCTGTAATTGTAAGCATACTGCATAATATTTATACGGCGTCCTATGAACTGTATATTACTTAGTTGTACAACAAACAAGAAAAAATGGAATTTCTTATTTTATATACCATACGAATGGTGCCCTTTATTTTGTATTTAGTATTGTTATTAAAAACAATGTGTCCCAAACGGTGTTCAATATGACTCCAAAAAGCAGAACTCTTATTACCCGAGTATCTGAACTTGAGTCTGGATACACAGGGTGTTCAAGTATTTATTACAAAGCGTTTTTGGACAAAATGGTATTGTATTTTATAAACAATATAATGACATATGTCAATTTCTCGTGCTTGCAACATTTTTTGAAAAATGAAAATGGCCTTGAATTTTTTAATGGAATGCTACATGGGTGACATTAAATATCTCATTTCGTCGTGGGATTTAGAATGAAACGCTTCTGTTATATGATACAAATAGTTTTTGATAAATCTATTCACATTGTTGTATGTACAAAACGGTGCGCGTCTGGATTGTTCCGTTATTTATTGTCACTGTAAAACAGAGTGGCGTAGAGCGGACCCATCGTGTGAATATTGGCCAATAAAACTAAACGAAGCGTCTCCGTGAACCGAATATTGGGCATGGACGTATCTGTGTCTCTCCAAGCAATGTTTGCTCCCTCGCTGCGAGTGAACAACGCTGGGGATGGGACGTTCTCGCGCATGTAAGCCCACACGCACTCCTTCATGATCGTATTTATCTAAATTATAAAAAAATCGTTGATAATGACAACACAAAATTATTTTTAAACAGACCTTATAAATTGACAAACCTGATGTGGTTCTAAAACAGGTAGAATATCCCTTATGCTAGCCAATGGCGGGGGTAGCAATTGACCTAGCGCCATAACACTGACCAGCGAAACACCTTCACTAGTATTCCAATTAGCCATTACGGTTGCAGCAATACCTCTTAATAAAACTGAACAGTATGCCAGAGCTGGTCTATACCAAGCTGTCAGCTTTAACAGCGTCCACAATAGTGGCACATCCCTGAACGTCCTCCGGATTTGCAAATCCCTCTCTATAGTCACCTAGCCATCGAAACAATGCAATCAGTTTTTAAACACGCCAACGCGATTGAAGATTGTAAATTACTTTTGTAAATTCTTCATCAGGCCACGGTAGTCCATTGTACATCACGTCAGGCGATACTAATTCTACCAACAGTAGACTGACCATGGTCAAGGCGTCAAGATTCACAGGATACCGTTCCGAGTCCTTGGTGCTGCAACAAGCCTGCAACATTCAGACTCTCAGAAGCACTTGGCAGAGTTAGGCAAAGTCGTTCAATTTATTAAATTTTTAACGACGGCAAAATTTACCCAACCCTGCCGTTCAACCATTGCATTTTCAAACCTGGTACCTTGATCACGTCCATCAGCAGCATTTTATTCAGAGCTATAATTTCTTTATCAATTGTGTTTTCAGGTGGTGGCTTCCTAGGCCCGTGACCGATCACTCCAGCGTGGAACACCGAAGAGTGTTTCTGTGCTAGCATAGTGCTAGTAACCTGAACAAAGCATTTCGTTAGATTCGTTTTTCTATCGATTTGTTTAGCACTCATCTTGGTACCTGTTTGTGATTTTGATGTAGAAGCAACATTTCTTCGAATCTCGGTTCAAACTTTTCTTTGGCGCCAAAATATTTCGCGGGATCACCATTGATAGTATGTCCCAGGATCTCCCTAAGTGCCAAGACTCGGGCACAAGGTGAGTAACAGGTAAAGTTCTTCAGCAGATGACAAACCATTTTCATACCCTTCTGTTTGTTCGTTATGTCTAAAGAAAATGACCATTTAAATTAGGAGCTGCCTGAAACAACGGCATAGTTTGCGACCTACCTTCTTCGGCCACACACAAGAAGAAGTACTGAATCACAGCTCTGGTCAGCTTCAGCGTGAGCTCTACGTTTGGCAGGAAATTATTTTCTTCGGGCGCACTAAACAGATCCAACATTTTTACGATATCGTTAGCCAATGCGAAATCGTACGTCTTCGTCAAGAGAGAGGAGATTTGATGTAAATTGGATTTAATAGCGTTTGTAATCATTTTCGACCTGAAGATCGTCGCCTTGTTGGACCTCTCCCATCTACGTGAATTTTTTAAGATTATTGAATATCATAACCAGCATTTCCAAAGATCCCCAGGATACTTACTTCAACATTGTAGTGAGATTTTGAAAGAGTTGCCTCCTCTCCTGTTTCTCAAGGACATTCTTGTAATTTATTTCTCTGAGTGCTTGCTCTATTACTTGGGTGAAATAACCATGACTTGCTAACATGTTTTCTGCTTCAGACTTGTTCGAGGGGAAGAGGACGACATTGTTGCAAACGAGACGTATTAGAGCTGCAAGGTGAAAGTTTGTCACTGACTTAGCCAACATGTACGATGCAGCCGATATCAGTATGTTAGGACTCTGACTCCCGAGGAAACATAACAACCTAACGGCTGTTTGAACTCGGAGAGGACTTTCGTTCAACAGCAGCGGCAATATTACTGGCAGTTCTTGCTTGATCGAGATCAGTAAAGCAATGTTCGCGGATTGGGGTCCGTGTGTTCGCAAGAGAAGGTCGATTTCTTGCATCACCAATTCTAGGATCTCGCTGCACACGCTCTTGATACTCTGCGCCGTGTTCGCGCTGTGGTAACCAATTTTAGTGGTGTTCAGAGCAAGATTCAATAATAAATTGATGATTTGCGATGCACCCTGTTCGCATCCTAAGACCAAATGCACGGTCAAGTCTATCAAAGCTTCTGGTTGGTTATTAAAGTATTTGCACCAGTCGGTAGCGAATAAAGCCAGCCGCGGAATTATTTCCGGCTTCAGGGTTTGCAACACGTCGCTCGTTATCGCTTTAAGCAAAGTCTGAGATAAAGATGCTAAGTTTAAGAGAAATGGGACAGTGGCTAGCTTCTGCTTTTTCATGTCCTCATCCGTGACCACTTCCTCGCCCATACTCCATTTGAATAAATCCAACAACGCTGTTCGAATGTCCTGAAAATGGCTGCCAGCCAAGTGCCCTAAGATCCCCACAACTGAGTTCAGCTTAGGATTTTTTACACTGTGTTCATAGCCCATGGAACAGAAGTCTTTCAAACCACAGGACAGTACTCTGGTGATCACTGTATTGGGGAAACAACTACCAACATGGGCAACCACCCAATCAAAGTGAGGACTGTGCAGGACACTGGTATCCAGCAATGCTTTGATACAGGATTCTGTGTCAGAATGCATCAGGCACTGAAGGCATTGGGCTGTGATATCAATGAGAGTACGAGTGGCACGGCAGGACATCCATTGTTGAAGGAAGTCGTTGATCCCAGCATTGCTGGGGAGGTTGCCACGTTTTGCATAGTCAGAGGACAGTTTACCTGTAATGTAAATCAGTTACTCTTAGCTCCAAAATCAAAATACGTTGATCAGCTCATACCTAGCAGTTCTAAGGACCATGCCGAGATGATTGGTGCCCAAGCCTCTGGATTCCCATTTATGAAACCACTCAAAACAGAATGTATCTCTGCTATAATGGACTCTTCGCATATTGCCAAATTTTGATTTGTCTGCGAAAATTAGAGTAATTGATGAAACTGACTTCACCGAGATTTTTAGCGCACTTACTTCGATTTGACGCACGTGTTTGGTCACTGCAACGAAAAACACGTTACAGAAGTACTCGAGTACCGCATCTCTGGCCGCAGGTACATTTCGAAGTAAGGATAAGGCTGTCCGAGTGACATCAAGGGTGCTGGTGTTATGAAGCGGCCTAACCGCTCCAGAAATGAACTTTCTGACCTCCGCCAAAATATCTTGCGGAGAAAGCGTTCCCGTTGAGTTGTACATTGTTATTTCTTTTTCTCAATCAACGAAAAAAACCGCATGCTACCTCAACAATTGCGATTACATCTTCCATCAACTATTTAGGGGTTAGACTTAAGTATCGCGCGCTTTCTACTGCGATGCAAAATAATGCTTGTAATCATTTTATCGTGCTTGCTATGAGTATAATTACAATTTCTTTACGATTAAAGTACGCAGAGACTTCAAGAGTTGTAAATAAGTAATATGTTTACATGCGTCCTAATATGCAACGTTTACAAATTTTTTCAAAGCGTTCTCTCACTTGTTTTGAGTAGATGGCAGTACAATTTGGCGGAAATGAAATGTTTCCTCCTTAACGTCGTGCTCATGGATCTCCATAACATAGCGTTTACATCCCCACCATTCTGTAACTCACCCAATCACGAGATTTCTCGAGTTTTTAGTCAATCAAAATGATAACAAAATGGCTTCTTTTTTCTTGAATGTCTCATTCGAATTCTGGAATAGCGGGACGTTATGAGGAAAAGTCTGTACTTTTAAATAGATGAAAGTATAAGGTATAAGATAAATAAAAATGAAAATGGTGCAGGACCATAATTTTACGAGAACAATTTTTATTTAATATTTGTACTATAGAGAACATTTTTTTAAATATTTCTAGAACAGTGGGAATAATCTAACATTGTCTGTAGTGTCAATGGAAATAGTTATAAAAGGTCAAGTATAAATCACACACCACCTCATGGCAGAAATAATATAAATAAAAGTAATGTCTAAAAGCAGTCTTTAACTAACATCTAAAAGCAGAGATGAATCGTGAAGTTTTTTGTGCATTTAGCAAAGGAACTCAACGTCTTTTCTTCTTCTCTTGCTTTCGTGGTCTATGAGGTCTTCTAGGAGTAACCTGAGGACTATTTTCTGAACATTCCACATCGCTTGGATCATCCTGCAATTGAAACAACCTTAATACCTTAACAATAACACTTAAACATTCATTGAATTACCTTCAATGCAGCAATGCCATCAGATGGGCCAGCCTGATAAACAACAATGGCCAATAAACAAATCACTTGAAACACTGCTCCAATATATAGGCCAAACCTCAGCAATTGTTCAAACAGTGTCTCTTCAGCCGGAAGTAAAAGTCGTTTTAATTGTGGATCAGTCTCTGCCATTTCTAAACACGAGAGACTGGGCTGTATTTACAAAACAGAAAATCTACAAAACAATCGAAAAATAAGAAGTAAATTTCAATATTTATGTAGTTACAGAGAATTAGACGAAAAACTAGAAGATTAAAATTCGTGAATCTAATTTTGCTGCAGTTTCGGTTTCCCCATCTTTTAATGACATTTTTTTCAAAGCCATAATGCCTGCAGTCGGTCTGATAAGTGGTATCGTTGATTTCAATTCAAAAGAGGCATTTCCAAGACTTAAAACCGATATACCTGTTGTTCAACAGTCACAAATCACCAATCAAAACATTTTTGTTTTCTCGAAGCATATCAGGTAGAAATCAATAACCCGAGCAACCAGTGATCGTAGAAGTTTCGCACAGTACCAGTGCGACAAATACTGCCAACTTTCTCGACAACGTTCCGGTGTGTCGATAATTATTTAAATGTCAGTCGACTTCGATCAACCTATCGACCCCGCAACCGACATTTAACGGGACCAGGTCGAAGCGAATCGGTCTTCGACCGGTTCGTCGAGAAACGCGCTGCTCGACGATCGATCATAGATCTTTTTATTTTCCGCTTGTTTTTTTCAAAGTCGAACGAAACAGCCGAACATAATGCGCTCGTTTCGCCTGTCTTGAAGTTGGCAACGGAGCAGGGGTTCGTATATTTCCAGTCAGGTGGAGTCAGGAATTATTAAATCGACCAAAGCGCCATCTGTCGATTGGCTCGAGCACTAACAGGTCCGAAATTAAATACGCATTTTATTAGCATAACGTTCTTCTACGAGATTGCAGAATTCCAGAATAACTGTAAAGGATCGAGAATTTATAATCGAGCGGTGAAATTTCGATGCCAATAAGGAATTCTTGAGTAATCGTCGGTAAAATTTTCGAATATTCGAAAGTGGCGGTCCGAACGTAGCGCCGGAAGCTATCTGGGTTCGAGGCTTGATCGCTCGCGAGTCCGTGGATGTGAACCTTTGTTTTGTACAGAAGAATGGCTGCCATCTTTAGTTTTCGATGGATGTTTTCCGAAGAGATCGTGAATTCTCGTATTTATCGCGATATTTAATTACGTAGGAAAATCTCGAACAGTGAAATAACGTTGTCCGCGATGTAAAGAGTGTTTTGCCGTTCGTTATTGAAGCTGCCCTGGTGTCAGTTCCGTTGAAAAATGCTTGTGTTTACATCCAAGTTTAAAGTCAGCCTCTGTATTCCTGTCATATTAAGGTAAGCAATACATTTTCACGGGTTTTCGGGACACGGAACGCTCGGGGAACTGCGATCTCGTCGAATAAACGTGGGAATTCGCTGGAACTGTCATCGGAAACATAGTTGCAACGATACGTTGCTGTCCGTATTATGAATCGTTTGTGACGTTCAAACGATCTCGTTACCCTATGTTTTTCTCGGCGAATTGTCATCGAAAACCAGTGTTAATTACTGTGTAAGGACGATCTCGGCAGTTCCGTTGACATTAACAACGCAACAAGGGTTCATTTGATATTTCACTTAACCAAAAAAAATTTTTTCGGTCGCTTCGAACGAGATCGATCTCTCGCCGTTTGGGGATTGATTTCCTCCTTTTCTGTCGACTTTCCGGTCGTTGTTGTGACGATTCTTGAAACGAAAACGAATGTTTGAAAAGACAGATCTGTTGGTGCAATTTTCGTGTCTGAATGGTGGCAACAATGGCTGATAAAATGGTGAGTGACTACAGGTCAACCACATCGTACACATACAACTCTACCTGGAGAATTTACATAGTTGTTAACATCTACTCAGCCTTTAAATGTTCTTTATCTAAGGCCTGACAAGTTTCCCCCATTTTTTACCATGATTTCTCTCCGTTAACCCTGCCGGTGTTAGTATTATTCTCCATACGTGTCGGATTGAACAGCTTGTGTCACTTTTATTTATATTCATTTCAGCTAGACAAGTGACTTTCAATTTTATTTGCACACATGCGTGCATTATTCAAATACCAGCCATGCTTGCCACAGCGTCAATAAAGTCAACAGCAGAAGTTTCTGAATTACGAGAAGACTTGGTCATGACTAATGTCATTTCACATTGCCAGTTTAGCAGTGAAGATACCATCTACCATTTTACGGTTGTCTTGTTCATTGAAATATCTTTACAACCACTGTCTGCCATTAAGGTATCTTGACCACCGACCATAAGGCATACCGATAAGCTGTTTCAAACAAGCCAGCGAACATGTTTTTTAAGTATCTCCAAAGAAGCAGTAACATGTATCTAATGTGCTAGAAAACTTGTTGAAAAGGAAAACCAAATGCTCATTCTCTAAAGGAGACAGAATTGGTTTGTACATCTGCATTCGAATTCAAGTACTTTCTCGGCATAAAATACTTTTCGGAGCATTACAAGATAAGTATTAAAAGTTCGCATAATGAATTACGTTTTAAAAATCTTGTTTGTAGGGGATGTATCGTAGAAATTGGTCGGAAATCTCGACAGTGGCATTGTTTTGAATGTCAAGAGTGTCGTTAAAGACAAGAGTATGCGTTTCGACGTGCAGAATGTTTGAAAAAAAAAAAGCTGGAAAGAGAGAGTTTAGATACATCGAAACTGATTTTACGGGCGGGAATAGAAAAATCTGCTAGGCGGCGCTGGTTTCTCACTACTCGGAGCCGCCATGTTGCTGGCTCTGTTGCTCCTGTCGTCTCTCTCGCTCTCTTTCTCTCCATGTCGTGTCGCCCCCCTTCCCGGCATTTACTTTCGTCAGCCCCTCTCGTTCTCCTTTTTCTTGATCTTTTCGCGATCCCTACCAATACAGCTTGTGTGTCTCTCCTATTTTCTCTTTCCACCCCCTCTTCCGCGAAACTTCTGCGCGTTCCTCTTTCCTGTCACGCTAAATTCCCTTCTCTGCATGTCTTGTACCTTGGCCGAGAGAGCAGCTTGCCTGCATCCTCGGGATCCCGAATTTATCGATTTCCCTGACACTGTCTCTGTACTTCGTATTTTTTCCATCGATACAATGGTATCAAACCGCGGGGAATTTCTGGGGGGGGNCGTTGAAAAATGCTTGTGTTTACATCCAAGTTTAAAGTCAGCCTCTGTATTCCTGTCATATTAAGGTAAGCAATACATTTTCACGGGTTTTCGGGACACGGAACGCTCGGGGAACTGCGATCTCGTCGAATAAACGTGGGAATTCGCTGGAACTGTCATCGGAAACATAGTTGCAACGATACGTTGCTGTCCGTATTATGAATCGTTTGTGACGTTCAAACGATCTCGTTACCCTATGTTTTTCTCGGCGAATTGTCATCGAAAACCAGTGTTAATTACTGTGTAAGGACGATCTCGGCAGTTCCGTTGACATTAACAACGCAACAAGGGTTCATTTGATATTTCACTTAACCAAAAAAAATTTTTTCGGTCGCTTCGAACGAGATCGATCTCTCGCCGTTTGGGGATTGATTTCCTCCTTTTCTGTCGACTTTCCGGTCGTTGTTGTGACGATTCTTGAAACGAAAACGAATGTTTGAAAAGACAGATCTGTTGGTGCAATTTTCGTGTCTGAATGGTGGCAACAATGGCTGATAAAATGGTGAGTGACTACAGGTCAACCACATCGTACACATACAACTCTACCTGGAGAATTTACATAGTTGTTAACATCTACTCAGCCTTTAAATGTTCTTTATCTAAGGCCTGACAAGTTTCCCCCATTTTTTACCATGATTTCTCTCCGTTAACCCTGCCGGTGTTAGTATTATTCTCCATACGTGTCGGATTGAACAGCTTGTGTCACTTTTATTTATATTCATTTCAGCTAGACAAGTGACTTTCAATTTTATTTGCACACATGCGTGCATTATTCAAATACCAGCCATGCTTGCCACAGCGTCAATAAAGTCAACAGCAGAAGTTTCTGAATTACGAGAAGACTTGGTCATGACTAATGTCATTTCACATTGCCAGTTTAGCAGTGAAGATACCATCTACCATTTTACGGTTGTCTTGTTCATTGAAATATCTTTACAACCACTGTCTGCCATTAAGGTATCTTGACCACCGACCATAAGGCATACCGATAAGCTGTTTCAAACAAGCCAGCGAACATGTTTTTTAAGTATCTCCAAAGAAGCAGTAACATGTATCTAATGTGCTAGAAAACTTGTTGAAAAGGAAAACCAAATGCTCATTCTCTAAAGGAGACAGAATTGGTTTGTACATCTGCATTCGAATTCAAGTACTTTCTCGGCATAAAATACTTTTCGGAGCATTACAAGATAAGTATTAAAAGTTCGCATAATGAATTACGTTTTAAAAATCTTGTTTGTAGGGGATGTATCGTAGAAATTGGTCGGAAATCTCGACAGTGGCATTGTTTTGAATGTCAAGAGTGTCGTTAAAGACAAGAGTATGCGTTTCGACGTGCAGAATGTTTGAAAAAAAAAAAGCTGGAAAGAGAGAGTTTAGATACATCGAAACTGATTTTACGGGCGGGAATAGAAAAATCTGCTAGGCGGCGCTGGTTTCTCACTACTCGGAGCCGCCATGTTGCTGGCTCTGTTGCTCCTGTCGTCTCTCTCGCTCTCTTTCTCTCCATGTCGTGTCGCCCCCCTTCCCGGCATTTACTTTCGTCAGCCCCTCTCGTTCTCCTTTTTCTTGATCTTTTCGCGATCCCTACCAATACAGCTTGTGTGTCTCTCCTATTTTCTCTTTCCACCCCCTCTTCCGCGAAACTTCTGCGCGTTCCTCTTTCCTGTCACGCTAAATTCCCTTCTCTGCATGTCTTGTACCTTGGCCGAGAGAGCAGCTTGCCTGCATCCTCGGGATCCCGAATTTATCGATTTCCCTGACACTGTCTCTGTACTTCGTATTTTTTCCATCGATACAATGGTATCAAACCGCGGGGAATTTCTGGGGGGGGGGGGGTATCTACAGTAGTAACCTATTAACGGTGAACCTTAAACGGAATGCAGACTTCCGGTTCCCGTTATCCGGAAACGGAAGAATGCCCTACCTCTCTCGAAATCCGATCCAGAGATAAGGAGATAACATCGTTATGCCAGATTATCAACGCCATTCAAGGGAAATTGATGAGAAATCGTGTCACTAATTACACCGGCGATAATGTTGCGGGAGTAACCCCATGTTGGACATTAATTATCGGGTATTCGAGATCGAATCGTATCGGTCGGCGTAATCCGCTGTGTCATGCAGAATGGCCACGGATCAGTCGTCGACTAGATCGTCAAATCCATGGCGGATCTTGCCCTCCTATGACCGTGCGACGCTGCCAGACTTACCGTCGAGGACATCCTTCTTAATATTTAAATAATGCGTGGCGTCGCTTGCACAGGATGTCTCGTTTTAATTTATCCGCTCGATTATCTTTGTATCTAGAGGCCGCTTAGTCATACATGTAAATGCATCTATTACAGTGGTTCTCATACACTTTCGGGAACTGGTTCGGTCCTGGGGATTCATAAAACGCTGCTCGATCCTCCGGCATCGATAAATCTTTCAGTGGCAGTCCGATGGTTTCTCTTCGCTGGCCGGATCAAGCCACTTCCATGTAAAGTTGCTCGAAGTGCTTGTTGTAAAGTCAAATCTGGCTGGTTGCACGCCGTACGGAGGGGGCGAGGGTGCAGATACGGGGCTCGTGGGTGGTTGGCGGCAACCAGTGGCGCCGCAACCAATTTTTTTCTTCTCAAATACCGATCGATCGGCGCCCATTATCTCCACTATCGTTCCGTGCAAAAACGCAGGAACAAATTCATCTTTTACAATTTCGGAAATATTCTACGTCCATGGGGCACCTTTGCCGAATGAATTTCGATGTCAGCTAAAGTATGCGAGGAAAGAACTTAACTAGGGAGTAATCATAGTATAGGAATCTTCCGTTGTTCGGGTCCATATTGACCCGCAAGGGGATGGATCCCCTTCCTCTATCCCAATTTGTGTTTGCTGGTCAGAAACAAGGGGGTCATGTTCCTCGGTTGGATACCGCGGCTATAGTGTTTGTTTAACAAACGGTTGCAGAACGTTTGGTCGCGTCCAGAATGTTGTCGACTCTGCAAAACGGTTGGGAAACGGTGTTCCGAGAGTTAAGAACTCGCACGCTCGAACTGTGGTCGATGGGTACGCCTCTGGTTGGTAGCATTTGTCGGCACGAGGTGAAATCGTATCGACCGCAAGGGAAGTTTGCGCGGAGTGACGGGCACGCGCGACACACACATATACATAGTAAAACGCGCAGCCGATCCACGGGGGACCAGAAGAAAACGGTCGAAAGGCATGTCGTTTTTTTGCAATACGCGTATTACCGGCATTCCTGTCGAAATTTCATATTAATCTGTATCGCGATAAATTCGACATTCGAACAGCTGCTTCTTCCCGAGTCTATCGGGAGGTGGAACAGTAGCAACAGTCTCGGTTTATTTGGCGCTTCGGATTATTCTTTTTTAAACACCTGATGGATGGTTTCGGGATTGGGGGGGGGGATCGGCTTAATTTCGGTGGGTTTCGCATGAAACTGGGTCGAATCGTGCAATCGCTTTGCCATTGTCCGTTTTATTAGCTAGCTGGTAAAGGACCGAGGCACTGGGATTTATACGGGTTGCTGATCCAGTCCCTGCGGTATCCATTACCATTGGCCACCTCTACTGACGTCATCGGGAAAGGTCCAATAGAACGATGTCAGTGCGTACGCACGGTCGAACTGCTGCTGCTGCCGCTACCGCTGCAACTGGCTCGCAAAGTGGCGGCCACCGTGTCCTGTTGTACCCTCGAATTTGTGTCATCGAGAGATAACTTTATTATCTCGTGATCACTGACTCTGTCCGAATCGAATGCAGTCCGGTAACAGGGTTAACCTGTAGCATGCAGATTCGATTAGCCATGCTTTTTTCAAATTCCATGGCCTTCCAAACGAACGTTACTCGAACCGTCGATTGCAAATATTCTCGATGCTTTTTCCTAGAATGTTGGAATACTTTACGCCTGCATTAATCGATGCACCTCGGAGTTGATAATTCCTTTATCGAGTGCAAAACCTCGTATTAAGTTACACCGGTTGGCTGAAACCGTTGAGGGGATCGGGATAGGGCGGGGGCAGGGCAACGAGCAACTAAAGCGGTGCATTGATCGATTAAGGGGGAGGGGAGGGCACGGTTGAAACTGACCAAATAAGAGAAGAGAGACTATTTTCCACGAAAAAACCTCGGAACGCGAGCGCTTCGGACGTACGGACGATTTAGTAAAGCGAGGGTATAATATCGAATTAACGATTTAAAGATTAGAAAGGAAATGGATAGGTGGGAGAGTCGCATTGTTGACCAACAACCGGGAAGACGCGGTTGGAGGTTACGTATGGTAAACAGGGTCGCAGAAAAATTGCAGATGCAGTTCGCCCGTGGTCCGTGCATTGACTCGCAGCGCTATGCGGCTGGGCGCCCGATTGGGTATTGCGTTTTCCACGCGAGTTTGGAATAGTTATGAATGGTTAAATATAGAAGCGACTGGCTGAGGCGAAATCCAACGCCTCGGGGCTTCGATCGAAAATCAAACGGCCGCGTAGAGACCCGCGACGATTTCGCAAGATCCGCGCAGCAATGTAACCGATGCATTTCTTCACGGTGACGTCAGTCTGTATTAATGGTGCCCGCGGTTACTATGGGAACGATGTATCCGCGATGCACACGCTACTTCGTGACTGCATAACCGACGTAGCGCGGAAACTTAAAATGGCGCGCGACCACGAAACTATTCGCTTCGAGACACCACGAGACGGTACAGATCTTCGTCGATCGAAATTCAAGGGTGGGTCGACGGTGACCCTTGGACGGACTCCGGTTTCTCGTGTCTCGTTTTCAATCTTTCTTTTTTCTTTACGACACAAGGTTGTGTAACTCTAGCCCAAGGAAAAGGAAGGATATCCTTAACATAAAGCCGAGAAGAATTCGTTAAGAACCGGATCCGCGTTGCAATGAAATGTAATAAAATTTAGTCTGGTCGCATGCGAACCAAAGAGAGAAAGAGAGAGAGCGCTGAACACGAAGCGGGACAGAGAGATTTGCTGGCGCGAGGGACGGGGTGGGGGAGAGAAAAAGAAATGAGCGCT